CCAGAGACGGGTAGGCTTTTTAGTTCAAGGCCAGACTGATCTACAGAGTAAATGCCAGGACAGTCAGTACTATACAAAAAAACCTTGTCTCAAAAAACAAAAACTTCATTTACTCTATAGCAGTCTCACTGTCTTTCCTTACTCATAGGGTCTGATAGCTTCAGCTATTTTGTTACATTCTATATGGAATCTCATTCTTGTTCTTTTGTAGCTAACCTGTAAGTTTCCAGAATATTCTGTCTTGACACTCTCAAGTGATGGATGAAGCCTACGGGGTCGGTCTGCTTGTCTGTGGCCTTACATGTTGTGGACATGGTTCCTAGTTCCCTGCTTGACAATGCCTTTAGATGGGTGTGTGATGTGTTGTGGTGAGGGTGCGTGCATGCATGCATGAGACAAGGGGGAGGGATGGAGGAAGGGAGGGAGCTGGCTACGGTTCAAAGTCCAGCATCTTTATCTACTTTTTGAGACATGCTCTCTTTCTTTGCCCAGAGCTCACTGGTTGATGAGACCAGCTGGCCATCGAGCCCTGAGGTCTGCCTGTCTCTGCCTCCCAGCACTGTGATTCCAGGCACATGCTGCCATCCCCAGCTTTTATGTGGATGCCTGGGACCCAAACCCGGGTACTTATGCTCACATAGCAGATACTTTCTTTAATCATTGAGCCATCTCCCTAGCTCTATGTGAGCCTGTAACCCGAGACCCTTCCTTTTCCTCCAATTCTGCAAAATGTATATATCTACTCTTTCTTCAGCTATGTCTGTCTTTCCATCCTTCCTTACAGGGATTCCAATTCATTTGGATCTCTGTCTTTTCTATGGCTCCTCCAATGCTTGGGACCTGTGGCCCAACCCCCATCCTTCTTTCTCCACCTCCGTGTCTGGACCAAGGAGGTCCTCTGCAGATCTTGGCGTCTAGCCATCCTTAGAATGATCCCACGGTCCCTGGTTCCTGGACTGCATGAGCTCCCTAAGCATCCTTCCAGGACCCTCCCTGTGAAGACACCTGACTCACCTGTGCTGAGAGCCATCGGTGAAAGAGCCAGTGGTTTCCTCTGGGGAAGTGGTCAGAACTAAGAAGGACACAAAGATGGTGGTTGCTCAGATGACCAGGACCAAGTTTAAGATTGGGACCCAAGAACCATGAGAGGAAGTAGAGAAGGGTTTTAGATGGAACCCCATCTCAAAGTCAGGGATACCTGAACCTAAAATCTTCAGCTTAAACTTGAATTTTTTACGTACATAAGGACATCAGTGCTAAATGTTGGCCTCCCCTAACCTCACCCCCCACCCCAAATCAATACTCTTTAGCCCAGCTCCCTGTCATTCATCGCTCTTCTTTCAGCCTCTGATGTCCACCCATCAATTCCCAATGTCTATTTAAACCAGCATTTTGTTGGTGTTGTTTGATAGTTTTTGAGACAAGGTCTCTCTCACTATGTACCTCTGAGTTGCCTGGAATTCTCTGTCTAGACCAGGCTGGCCTCAGACTCACTGAGACCCGCCTGCCTCTGCCTCCCGAGTGCTGGGGTCAAAGGGCACGCGCCACCATGCACAGCTAGAATTTTTTTAATGTCAAATTTCCATGTAGCCCAGGCTGACCTCGACCTTACCGCATAACTCAAAATAGTGAACTTGAGATCCACCCACCTCCACCACCCAAGAGCTGGGACCAGAGGCTGTTAGGACACAAGACTTCCAGGCTGTCTTCATGATTGTACTAATTTACATTCCCACTAACCACAGGGTTCCCTTTCTCCACGTCTTCCCTGTGCCTCTTAACCTCTTGTCTTTTGGGGAAGAGTAATTCTTACTAGAGGGAGATGATCTCACTGTGGCTTTCATTCATATGTCCCTAGCAGTTTAGTGATGTTGTGTTGTGGCTTGGTTTGGTTTTTAAACCCGCTCAGATTGGACCTGGGATCTTTATGCATACATTAAATCTGGCCTCCCAGTGGGAAGTGGGCGGCGCTGGACCAGACAGCACACTTCATCTCTCTGTATCTGAAACCCTGAATGGAGCTTCCTCATTGCCAGTCCCTAGGGGATCCACCCAAGGGGAAGGCCCCACTGAGTCTCAGGCTCCCCGTGTTCCTGGCCTTTCCTCCTCATAAACATACCTGTCCTTGTTTGGAGCCTGACGCTGGTCGGTGGAGGAAGAGTGGACACGGCTGTAAAAGAAAAAGAGATGATGACTATGTGGGGTCCTGAAGGGTGAATCCAATCCGACCCCAAAGAGTGACAGGATATAGGGGAGATCAGAGCAGGTCCTTGGGGGTCCCTTGGGCCAGCAGTGATCTGTACCTTAGGGTCTGCACGGATTGCCTGTGTGAGAAAGAGAATCAAAGGGCTGGAAAGACGGCTCGGTCATTGACAACACAGATTGTTCTGCAGAGACTGAGCTTGGTTCCCAGTACCCACACTGGGTGTTCACAGTCACTTGTGAGTCTAGCCTCAAAGGGATCCTACACTCTGGCCTCATGGGCACTGGCACACATGTGGGTTGTGCTCATGGGCGCATATAATTGAAAATAAAAACATTCCAACTTTTTTTTTGTCTCTGGTTGTCCAGGAACTCACTCTGTAGACCAGGCTGGCCTTTAACTCACAGAGATTCACCTGCCTCTGCCTCTCAAATATTGGGATTAAAGTTGCACCATGCAAGGCTAAAATAAAAAAGAGTCAGGAGAGACTGCAGGTCCCTGTTCTGTGAAACTCAGACATTCCTTCTCAGTGCCAGAGCCAGGAAGCTGTCTGAGGGGCCAGGGCATCCCGTGCCCCTCAATCAGAGCAGATGATAGGGTTGGAGCTGACAGAGACAAGGGAGAAGCGATACACATTTTCACTTGGTCCCTAGGAGAAGGACCTCCCCCTCACCTGGAGACACCACCAGGCTGATGTTGCGGAGAACTTTGATTGTATTGTGTGAAACATCAAATAGTCCGCACCAGTAGATTGCTGAGTCCTTCTCCGTGAGCTGAGTGATGGTGATGCTGAAGAAGTCGACTTCAGGATCGTCCCAGATTGTATGCTGTGATTCTGTGACGGCCCTCCGAGGCTGGGAGGTTGTGACCACTCTGTTACATTTATTTGAAGATGTCTGACGACACCATGATTTCGGCACGTAAGGCCCCGCTTCAGGCTTGTACGAGCACTGCACGTACAGGTTCTGTCCTACCTCTTTGTGAAGCTCCTCAGAAACAACTGTCGACCCCCAGACACCTGGACAACAAACCGTCAGGTCAGAGCCCCAGCTGGATACTTTGCTTGCAGGGCTAGGAGAGCTGAGACGAGGTGACTTCTTGCACCAACTCAGAAGGTGGCTCTGAAGTCATGCCCAGTCACAGGGTCAGCCGGATCCTGCCTGACCCTTGTCCTCTAGACCCACTCCTCAACCCCTTGAGCCCCGAACCATCTCACCTGAGGTCAGGCACAGCAGCAGCACAGGGGCCAATAGCAGTTGTGAGCCCCTCCAAGCCATGTCCCACCGATTCTGTCAGCGGAGGAGCAGAGGAGAAGGGAAGCTTTGGACTGGGTAGGAGTCTCCACACTTCTCAGAATCTGTGCGCTGTAAAGATCCAAGGAAGGACCAGGGCTTTGATTGGGGAAGTGGTTGGCCTGGGTAGGCGGGTCCTGGGGGCCCACGAGAACAGCAGCCAGGCCTGGACTGTGGAGCCCCAGCTACAGGGTCCATCTCTAGCCCTCATGCCTCAGCCCTGCCCCCAGTCCTTGCCTTCCTTTTGTTCATTGTATCCCCATCTCTGTCCCTCTACAGCATCTACCAATCACACTCCTTCATTATCACTGCAAAAAAATAAAAATAACTATGTGAAGTAAGAGTCCCCTTCCTCTTTTCTTTTTCCCAGAGAAAGGTCAAAGTCCCCTAGAGGCGTGTCCAGAGTCCTGGGCATGCTCACCCCAAGATAAGTCAGGAGCCTCACTCCCAGGCAACAATGAGTTTTTATCCTGGAAGATTTGTGGGCCACCGGCTTCCAATGCCAGGCTGTAAGGATGGTCCCCTAGAGAAGGTGAGGGGCACCACTAGGAGTGCTGAGGAAGAGTTATCAGAAGGGAAGTCTGGAGGGATCGACCTTCTCCTTTGGGGTGAGAAAGGAAGTGGGAGAATTCATGACCATGGCAACTGACGTTTGCTGCAGGGATGTGCGGGTGAGCAAGGAAAATGGAAAACCTGCAGTATTCCACACACAAAAGTGTGCAGAAGAAATGGTGACCCGCGCTGGAACGACCTAGCAATAATGATACTAGACTTTATATAAAATACCCACATGTCCAGGCTAATGTAGGAAGATGGTGGAGTAAATAAACCCCAGCTGAGAGCACAACCTCCCATGTGCAAGGATTCCACGATGGGGGGCTGAAGGCCGGTGTGCCCCCAAAGTCATGTGATGAAACTTTTTTCTTTTTTCCTTTTCGTTTATTACTTTAAAAAATATCAATCCAAAATCCCACTTCCTCCCCTCCTCCCACTCCCTCCACACACCCTCACCTCTCATCCCCTCCAATCTTAAGAGAAGACAAGGCACCCTGTCCTGTGGAAAGTCCAAGGCCTTCCCTACTACATCTAGGTTGAGCAAGGTATACATCCAAAGAGCATAGGATCCCAAAAGGGCAGTACATGCAGACAAATCCCAGGACCACTGTCAGTGGCCCCTCAGTCTGCCCCAACTGTCAACCACATTCAGAGGGCCTAGTTTGATCCCATGCTCGTTCACTTCCAGTCCAGTTGGAATTAGTGAGCTCCCATTAGCTCTGACAAACTGTCTCAGTGGGTAAACCCCTCATGGTCTTGACTTCCTTGCTCATATTCTCACTCCTTCCACTCTTCAACTGGACCTTGGAAGTTCAATCCAGTGCTCCAATGGGGGTCTCTGCCTCTGTTTCCATCTATTGTTGGACAAAGGTTCTTTGGTGATATTTAAGATAATCATCAGTCTGACAACAGGACAAGGCCAGTTCAGGCACCCTCTCCTCTGTTGCTTAGGGTCTTAGCTGGGGTTATCCTTGTGGATTCCTGGGAATTTTTCTAGGGCCAGGTTTCTTGCTAACCTCCAAATGGCTCCCTCAATCAAAATATCTCTTCCTTTGCTCTCATAACTGTCCTTCCTCTTTCTCGACTATCCCATTCTCTCAAGTTCTCCCCAATCCTCTCCTTCTCCTCTCATCCCCATGCTCCCAAATTTTGTCAGGTGATCTTGTCTGCTTCCAGTTTTTAGGTCTATCTATATATGTTTTTCTTTGGGTTCACCTTATTACTTAACTTCTCTAGGATCATGAACTATTGGCTCAGTGTCCTTTGTTTATGGCTAGTATCCACTTGTGAGTGAGTACATACCATATTCATATTTTTGGGCCTGGGTTATCTCACTCAGGATAGTGTTTTCTAATTCTATCCATTTGTACGCAAAATTCAAGATGTCATTGTTTTTTATCGCTGAGTAGTACTCTAATGTGTTTCAACACTTTCTTTATCCATTCTTCACTTGAGGGGTATCTAGGTTGTTTCCAGGTTCTGGCTATTACAAATGAACATAGTTGAACAAATGTTTTTGTAGTATAATTGAGCACCTTTTGGGTATATTTCCAAGAGCGATATTGCTGGATCCTAAGGTAGGATCCTAAGGTTGATTCTCAATTTTCTGAGAAACTGCCACACTGATTTCCAAAGTGGTTGCACAAGTTTGCATTCCTACCAACAATGGATGAGTGTTCCCCTTACTCCACATCCTATCCAGCATAAGCTATCATTAGTGTTTTTGATTTTAGCCATTCTGACAGGTATAAGATGATATCTCAGAGTTGTTTTGATTTGCATTTCCCTGATAGCTAAGGATGTTGAACATGTCCTTAGGTATCTTTGGACCATTTGAACTTCTTCTGTTGAAATTCTCTGTTTAGTTCAGTACCCCATTTTTTAATTGGGTTATTTAGAATTTTAATGCCTAATTTCTTGAGTTCTTTATATATTTTGGAGATCAGACCTTTGTCTGATGTGGGATTGGTGAAGATCTTCTCTCATTCAGTAGGAAGTCTTTTTGTCTTAATGACATTGTCCTTTGCTTTACAGATGCTTCTCAGTTTCAGGAGGTCCCATTTATTTATTGTTGTTTTTATTGTCTGTACTACTGGGGTTATACTTAGAAAGTGGTCTCCTGTGCACATGCATTGAAGACTACTTCCCATTTTCTCCTCTATCAAGTTCAGTGTAATCAGATTTATATTGAGGTCTTTGATTCATTTGGACTTAAGTTTTGTGCATGGTGATAGATATGGATCTATTTTCATTCTTCTACAGGTTGACATCCAGTTATGCCAGCACCATTTGTTTAAGATGCTTTGCTTCTGCCATTGTATAATTTTAGCTCCTTTGTCAAAAATCAGGTGTTCATACGTTTGTGAATTAATATCTGGGTCTTCAATTCAATTCCATTGGTTAACATTTCTGTTTCTATGCCAATACCAAACTGCTTTCATTACTGTAGCTCTGTAATAGAGCTTGATGTCAGGGATGGTAATGCTTCCAGAAGTTCCTTTATTGTATAGGATTGTTTTGGCAATCCTGGGTTTTTTGTTTTTCCATATACAGTTGATTATTGTTCTCTCAAGGTAGGTGAGAAATTGTGTTGGGATTTTGATGGGGATTGCATTGAATCTATAGATTGCCTTTGGTTGGACTGCCATTTTTACTATGTTGATCCTTCCTATCCAGGAGCATGGGAGATCCTTCCATTTTCTGGTATCTTCTTCAATTTCTTTCTTCAAAGACTTGTCAAATAGTTCTTGTCAAATAGGTCTTTCACTTCTTTTGGTTAGTGTTACCCCAAAATACTTTTTATTATTTGTGCCTATCGTGAAAGGTGATGCTTCTCTGATTTTCCTCTCAGCTTCTTTATCTTTTGTGTATAGGAGGACTACTGATTTTTTTAGTTGATCTTATATCCTGCCATATCACTGAAGATATTTATCAGCTGTGGGAGTTCTCTGGTAGACTTTTTGGGGTCACTTATGTACACTATCATATCATCTGCAAATAACAAAACTTTGACTTCTTCCTTTCCAATTTGAATCTCCTTGATCTCCTTATGTTGTCTTCCTGCTATTGCTAGAACTTCCAAAACTATGTTGAAGAGATATGGAGAGAGTGGACAGCATTGTCGTGTTCCTGTTTTAGTGGAATCGCTTTGATTTTTCTCTCCATTTAATTTGATACTAGCTGTTGGCTTGTTGTATATTGCTTTTATTATATTTAGATATGATTCTTGTATCCCTAATCTCTCCTATACCTTTATCATGAAGGGGTATTGAATTTTGTCAAATGCTTTTTCAGCATCTAGTGATATGATAATATGATTTTTCTGTCAGTTTATTTATATGATGGATTACATTGATAGATTTGTGTATGTTGAACCAGCCCTGCACCTCTGGGATGAAGCCAACTTGATCATGATGAATGATTTTTTTTATGTGTTCTTGGATTCAATTTGCCAGTATTTTATTGAGAATTTTTGCATCCCTGTTCATGAATGAGATTGATCTGTAATTCTCTTTCTTGGTTGGGTCTTTGTGCAGTTTTGGTATCAGGGTAACTATAGCCTCGTTAAAAAAAAAAAACCCTTTTGCTTCTATTATGTGAAGTATACTTCTATTATTAGGAAGTATAGGTATTAGCTCATCTTGGAAGTTATGGTAGAATTCTGCACTAAAACTATCTGACCCTGGGCTTCTTTTGGCTGGGAGGTTTTTGATGACAGCTTCTATTGCCCCGTGGCTTATAGGTTTTAAAATCCCCGCATCCCAGGAGGTCGGCTTGCGGTGGTCCCGCCGTGCAGCGAGCGGGTGCAGGCAGTGGGCTCTGGGAGCAGCCAGTCTCAGACAGAGAGAGACTGGTTGTGAGTCCCTACAAGATCCCAGCAAGCAGGCCATGTGGTGGCAGGCAGCGGTGGCTTGTCCTGGCGCCAGCAGACACATGGCAGGCAGGCAGGAGACAGAGACATGGATAAACACAACATGTAGAGTGAGATTGAAATATTTATTCAGGGGGTTATGGAGGGGAAGAGAAAAGGGGGAAGAGAGAGAGGGAGAGAGAGGGAAACAGCAAGATGCGCGCACCCCCAAAGAGAACAGTAAGTGAGTGATCCAAGATGGTGGGGAGAGGTCAGGGGGCTCCGGGAGTGGGCATGACTTGCCACTTAAAGGGCCAAAAGCATAACAATAGGTCTATTTAAATTGCTCACCTGATCTTGATTTAATTTTGGTGTATGGTATTTATCTAAAAAATTGTCCATTTCTTTTACATTTTCCAATTTTGTGGAGTACAGGGTTTTGTTGTAATATCTAATGATTCTCTGAATTTCCTCAGTGTCTGTTGTTATGTCCCCCTTTTCATTTCTGATTTTGTTAATTTGGATGTTCTTTCTTGGCCTTTTGATTAGTTTGGATAAGGGTTTGTCAATCTTGTTGATTTTCTCAAAGACACAGCTTTTTGTTTCATTGATTCCTTGGATTGTTTTCTGTGTTTCTATTTGTTGATTTCAACCCTCAATTTGATTATTTCCAGTCCTCTTGGGTGAGCTTGCTTCTTTTTTTTTTTCCTAGAGCTTTCAGGTGTGCTGTTAAGTCATTAATGTGAGCTTTCTCCATTTTCTTTATGTGGGCACTTAGTGCTATGAACTTTCCTCTTAGCACTGCTTACATGGTGTGCCAT